TTGCCGTGGTGCCGAATGGAGGATGAACTACTCAAGATCGCATTCAATTACGTCAAGCAAGGTATTAAACTGTTCAGCCACGTGTGGGCAGCAATTGAAGCGCACAAGATTTATATGAACTTACAGGCTACTGTGATATCAAGGCTCCAGGTATGATATCTCAATCTCCCATTTGATTATCTGTATCATTCTCTTTCCTCCTCTGAACCTCCATTTTTCCCCTATGGCTGACTATTCTTCTACTTTTGTTCAAGAATATTAAATCAAAAATAACCCTCATACACAACGTTTGGACTACTAAAGGCAACCGACATGCATTCATGGGAATCGCCGCAGCTTACGTGACGGACGATTGGGAGTTTGTCATCACCCATCTTGGATTGAAGTTCATTGCTTGGACTCACAAGGGTAAGAACTTAGCAATCCCCTTTTGTAATGTCATCATCAAGTCGGATCTTCAAGAAAAGATAAGTCTTTCCTCCATTTTTTTTCTTCTGTGACCCCTTGTCTCTCAGCCAGTGATTTAACTTGGCTCTTTTATTTTTTCATTCACATCTTAGCCCAGACTACCGACTCCGGCTCAAACAATGGCACCATGGTAACAGAGGTCGACCGTATGATTGAAATCAAAACAGGAGTCAAGCTCAAGCTATCCGAGAACCACATCCAATGCTTCTGCCATAAGATTGGTCTGATCCTCACCGCTGGACTCAAGGCAATATCGATCGATACGGATGGCCTCACAAAGACTAAAGCATCTACCCTTGGCTTTGTCCCGGGATTGGAGCCTGTCCTTGAAGAACCCGAAGATCCAGTCCATCCCGATACCTTCGAGGAGCATGTGGTTTTTGGACCCAACCCGAACGATAACGACACAGATGACGAGGACAATGAAGTACCCGAGGACAGCCAAAACATCCAAACACCATCAGCCCAACTGAGCTTCAATAAAGTTGACTTTGTCATTCAGAAGATCACCTCCTCAGCAGCCCGACGGTCGGAGTTTAACACTTGGGCAAAGAAGTTGGATTACGATGGACCATCGTTGATTTCAGGGTAAGGCATCAGATGGAATATCAAATTTATCAGCCGAGACCGAGCTTACCAGGCGCGACAAGTCATCAACAAGCTGATTGATAATGAACGAGATCGACATGAAAAGGAAGGGAGCAACAATTGTTACGATGATACCGAGATTACTCGAGCGGACTGGGACAATGTCAAACGGCTCAACGATGTTCTCAGCGAGTTTTACTTCATAACTAAGAAGATGGAAGGTGATATCCCCTCGGCTGGGATGATACTTGCGGAATACAGATACATCAAAGCTCTGCTCAACAAGAAGATGACATTGACAACCGAAGCCGACTTTCACCCGATGTACACAAAGATGCTTGACCGAACCGACAAATATCTCTCAGAAGCCTTGAAATGTGACGCCATTTTGCTTGCCACGATTCTCAATCCCAGTTACCGCCTCTTGATATTCAACTTGTTCTTTCCCTCACACTTGACTCGTGCTCGGAACTTGATTCAAGAAAAGTTCATCATTCAAAAGATTGAGTACGAAGCCAGCACCCCGCCACAGGTCAACATGCAAGCTGGCAAGCAATCAACCCACGACCCAGTTCGCGAATTTGACGACATCGAATTCTTCCCAGATCCGGTTGAAACGTCCCCAGAGGATGAGTTGACGGTTTACCTTGGGGGCAAATATAAGTGGCCCCACCCTCAGGCATCCAAGTGCTTACTCTGGTGGAAGGTAAGATCTTCTGTAATGTATTTATCTTAGCCCAATGGTTGGTCCTAACTGACAATGATATTATATCTTATCTTAGGAACATTCTCAGAGTCCCATCTGTCCCTTCTGGCAAGGGATATCTGGCTTGCTGCTCCACCTCAGCCTCAGTGGGAGCGATGTTTTTT